CCAAGACACAACTGAAAAATACAGCAGACCCAATTTAACAGATAGGATGATCACAGCAAAGAAAAGCTAAGTGACTTCTGTGATCACACGCTGTATCTAGGGCAGAACCAAATGCAATATGGTCTTCAAGAGTTTGGTCTGCTCTTTTAACTACTTTATGACAGTTTCATATGCAACGCACCAGTACTTGCCCACCGGTGATAAAATACTGTACCTGCTCTCTTGCCACTCCTCTGCACAAGCGACTTTGATCATACCTTGACAATTATTGACACATTTTAAAGCATCTGTAGCATTGAACTCAATTCCAAAACCATGATCATGCTGTATTCTTAGGATATTGTCTCCAAACATCATTTCTGGCAGGGAAGGCATGTGTAATTCATCGGCCAATCTGCAGAGAAAAATGAAAGACACATCAGTCAGCTATAGTTGAGTAAAAGCAGTCCCTGTTCTGGAATAAGTATTCTTTAGAATTATACATAATAATTTAGAAGGCATATCATTGATATGTTTTGGAAGACTTTGTATTTTCCCAGGTTAATCATTTGACCTGAAATGCAGAATCATTGAACCAAAGTGACTTTTTCACCACAAAAATATTTCCAAAACATTCCTTCTCCATCAGGCTCGTACAAAGTCTCACACATGAGGAATCAAAAAATATCTGAGAAGCATGTAGAAGGAGTTTTTGACCTCTTCTAGCAAATCCCTGGATGGTCCACGAACTACTTTGGCAGGTGCTCAAAAAGAACTTTTAGGAATGAGCGCTCATCCTCAGCAAGTTTGAATTCACTAGGCACAGTGATCCATACCTCCAAATTCAGAAGCCTACAAAAAAGACACTTAAGACAACCCTGGCAGAGTATGTGAAAAACACAGAAGACACTACTGTGATCTACTACTTTTCCAAGCTGGTAGAAGACTGGTACTGGTATTTATAACTTTAAGCAGAAAAGCCACAGCCAGAGCCACAGATCCAACTGAACAAGGTACTTCATGAACCAAGTAAGCATGATCCCTGCAGAAAATCTCAAGCCATCCTATTTCACGTTCTGTTTTGCATCAGTCTATATACTTATTTGTACTTATGTACATATAAACATGTGCTATATATAAATACACCCCCCACCACCACCTGATATACACTCTGACCTTAATTACTAAAAGGTTTCATATACTTCTTTTTCTCCCTACCACTACCTACTTTACCTATCGAGATCAAAAAGGAATACATGATATCTGGAGAGAAGAAAACTTTAGGAAATACATTAATTTGAAGGAGGGGAGGACAAAAAGTGTTGTAATCACAATGTTCACATTGATAACAAGGCATTCCTGAACAAAAGTGGTTATTTCTGTAACCCTACATAAAAAAGAACAATATGCTAACCTAACTAAATTAAAAAAGCAAATTCATAGACCTGGAGAATAAGATCCTACATTTTTCCCAGAGAAGGCAGAATAACATAATGAACTTTTCCATTTCATCAAGTGTAGGTCCCTTGACCTGCAAAAACCATCTCTAGCACAGAAAGGAGTTCTTGGCTCTGGCACATTTAATTCTTCACTTTTCCACACAGGCTGTTGAGGGATTTTTGCGATATATATCTGCCAGAAATAAAACTCCTACAGATACTAATGATGTTCCCCGAGCAATAAAAAAAGACAAAATGCCAAGAGAAATACATTATAAATGGAAGCTGACTAAAAGCACTGCAACAAGATGGTTTCTGACTTTTCAAATTTGAAGTCGGATGAATTGTTTTGCAGATCTCACGCTAGGTACCAAGATCTACAGGTAAATGGCTATTTTTGGACTTCCCTACCCTGTAAAATCCTCTCTGTTCTTTCAAGCCTATGTTATGGCTCTTGCTGCTTTACTTTTCAGTCTTTTTCAATATGTTCTAAAAAACTGTGCGTTCCTCAAAAACATCTAAACAGATAAAGGTAATTTCTGAAAATTACAGAGGTGACTAATTTAAAATAGGTACAATTAAAGAAACTGAAGAGATCAGAAAATAAGTAGAGCAGGCAATTTGGCTTTTAGACTGGCAGTTTAAGTCTCTCACTTGTTCACAAATAATGAAGAGAATTAACATCCTCCCAATCTTAACAAAAAAGATCTTTATTTTTAAGAGGTAACATCCTACAAAATAAGTCTTCAAATATGGCATAAGAATGAGATGCTCTAAGAACACCTCTCCTTCCCCCACAGGACACAAGTATGGCTTACATGGATGTTGAAACCTCATTACAGAAAAACTACTAAATCACAGGATTCAAGTTTTCTTACCTGTAACTGTAAAAACCAAAGGATCATTAGTCAAAAGCAGTTTGAGATTTTTTTAGGCATAAGATAAAGATGGAAGAAGGAACATAGGTTTTACCTGTTTTAAGGCAGATGCCCAGTTTTAAAAAAGTATTATGTTGTTATGTTTAAAAATTAACATTTACATAGTTTACTATAATGCTAATTAAAAAACAAGCATAGCATTTCCAGACATGAGACTATATCAAACAAATTAGAATCATGGAATTGTTTAGGTTGAACAAGACCTCTAAGATCATCAAGTCCAACCGTTAGCCCAGCACTGCCAAGTCCACCAGGAAACCATGTCCCTGAGTGCCATGTCTACACATCTTTTAAACACCTCCGGGGATGGTGACTCAACCACTTCCCTGGGAAGCAGGTTCCAACGCCTGACAACACCTTCTGTGAAGAAATTTTTCCTAATATCCAATCTAAACCTCCCTTGGTGCAACCTGAGGCTATTTCTTCTTGTTCTATTATTTGTTACAACCTCCTTTCAGATAGTTGTAGAAAGCAATAAGGTCACTCCTGAACCTCCTTTTCTCCAAGCTAAACAACCCCAGCTCCCTCAGCCACTCCTCACAGGACTTGTGCTCCAGACCCTTCCTAAGCTCCATTGTCCTTCTCTGGACACGCTTCAGCACCTCCATGTCCTTCTTGTAGTGAGGGGCCCAGAACTGGACACAGCACCCAAGGTCCAGCCTCACCAGCACTGAGTACGGAGGGACAATCACTTCCCTGGTCCTGCTGGACACAGTATTTTTGATCCAAGCCAGGACACCATTGCCTTCTTGGCCACACGCTGCTGGCTCATGTTCAGCTGCTGTCGATCAGCACCCCCAGGGCCTTTTCTGCTGAGTTGCTTTCCAGCCACTCTTCCCCAAGCCTGTAGTGATGCCTGGGGTTGTTGAGACCCAAGTGAAGGACCCAGGACTTCGAACCTCATACAGTTGGCCTCAGCCCATCGATCCAGTCTGTCCAGACCCCTCTGCAGGCCTTCCTACCCTTCAGCAGATCAACACTCCCATCCAACTTGGTATCACCTGGGAACTTACTGAGGGTGCACTTGATCACCTCATCCAGACTGTTGATAGATATCAAACAGGATGGGCCCAAATACTGAGCCCTGGGGGACACCACTTGTGATCGGCCGCCCGCCGAATGTAACTCCATTTACCACCATTCCCTGTGGCCGGCCATCTGGCCAGTGTTTCACCCAGAAAACAGTGCACCCATCCAAGCCAAGGGCAGCCAGTTTCTCCTGGAGAAGGCCTTATTAATCTCAGGAAAGGGAAAAGCAAGATGAATGAGCATACATTTAACATGACTAACAAGAAATTGTATTCCACTATTCCAGAAACTGAAAACAAGAAGTATCTGGTGAATTTAGCTGCCACTATGGTCAGTTATGGCACAGCTGAACTGTTCAGCTCCACATTAGCAAATCTGACTTAAGTGCTTGATGCTGACACAGGAAGACTTTCTCCAATGGTTTGACAGGAGTGGAAATTACTACAGGAAGAAAGCAAATTATAAATTTTTAATGAAAACCACTACCTTAATATAGCTATTACCAAGATATGCTGCTGGAGTAGAGAGTCCACAGGCCATGTTTAAAGGGCCCTTAATCACCATTAAAAAGTAATTAAGAAAATCAGGCTTCTAATTAGCAGGCATCAGTTCACAGAGGTCCAGATCTCCAAAACCACTAGAATCATAGAATGGTTTGGGATGGAATGGACCTTAAAGATCATCGAGTTCCAACCCCCTTGCCACAGGCAGGGACATCTCCCACTGGACCAGGTTGCTCAGAGCTCCATCCAGCTTGGCCTTCAACACTGTCAGGGATGAGGCATCCACAACTTCTCTGGGCAACCTGTTCCAGTGTCTGGCCATCCTCACAGTAAAGAACTTCCTCCTAATATCTAATCTAAACCTGCTCTCTTTCAGTTTGAATCTCTGCCCCCTTGTCCTGTCACTACATGCTCTTGTAAAAATCCCCTCTACATCTTTCTTGTAGGCTCCCTTCAGCAATCAGTAAAACCAAATTTTGGAAATCACCTGTAACCCAAATCACCCTAGCTTCTCCAGCCAAAGATTCAAGCTTCCCGTCTCAAAAAAAGAGGGAAGAGCTCCCCCTCCCCCGTAGTAACTGGACTGGGAAGCGTCTCCCCCGCCCTGGGAAGGGTCTGTGCTTCCTGCGCAAGGCGCCCAGGCGCCCCAAAGCCCTTGCTGTGAGGGGCTGAGGCTGCAGCCCCGCGGGGTCCCCAAGCAGCGGGGGCGCTGTGCCGTGCCGTGCCGTGCTGTGCTATGCTATGCCGTGCCGTGCTGTGCCGTGCTATGCCGTGCCGTGCTGTGCCGTGCCGTGCCGCCCCCCCGGCCCGAGCCCGCCCCACCTCTCGGCCTGCGCCGACTTCATGATGTGCGTGCGAGCGGCGCTCAGCTTCCACGGCCCGAAGGTGAAGTCGCGCCGGCTGCTCTGGAAAACTGGGTGCATGGCGGCCTCCTCTCCGCCGAGGAGAAAGCAAAAGGGGCCAGAACGGGCGGCGGAGGCGGCGGAGCTCCTCTCCTCCCCTCCTCTGTCCACACCGCACAGCGCTCACGGCAGCGACCGCAACGCCGGAACAGCCGCCTCACAGCGCTTCCGCTTCCAGGGGCGCCGGCAGCGCGGAGCCCGGGCGCGGAATCCTGGGATGTATTAGGAAGAGCTTTGCTAGCAGGCCGAGGGAGGTGCTCCAGTCCCTCTGCTCAGCTCTAATGAAGCCACATCTGAAGTGCTGTGTCCAGCTCTGGGCTCCTCAGAACAAGGGAGACATCAAGATCCTGGAGCCGGTCCAGAGGAGGGTGACAAAGATGATTAAGGGACTGGAGCATCTCTCTTACGAGAAAAGGCTGAGGGAACTAGATCTGTTTAGCCTCGAGAAGAGACAGCTGAGAGGGGACCTCATTAACGTGTATAAATATCTAATTCCAAGAGGATGGAGCCAGGCTCTCGGTGGTGCCAAGCAATAGGACAAGAGGCAACAGGCAGAAACTGATGCACAGGAAATTCCACTTCAATATGAGGAAGAACTTCTTTACTGTGTGAGTGACCACGTGCTGGAACAGGTTGCCCAGAAAGGTTGTGGAGTCTCCCTCACTGGAGATATTCAAGAACCGTCTGCACACAATCCTGTGCAATGTGCTCTGGAATGACCCTGCTTGAGCAGGGAGGTTGGACCAGGTGACCCACGGTGGTCCCTTCCAACCTGATCCATTCTGTGATCAGGTGGGCAGGTGGGAGGTGCTGCTACACATGGAGGGCTCCGTGCTCCTCTGCACTCCTGGAACCACCATGGGGAGAGCAGACCTTTCTCTGGTCTCTGCCCACCACAGGAAAAGGGAGCCAGTGAGCTCCCCCCTGCCCTCATTCCCGGGGAGCCAGTCTGTGGCAGCTGGTGGAGAACATGTGTGTGCCCTGTGGGTGTTCGTGCCTCCAGCCACTTCCCCACGGGTACCTCACCGAGAGCAGCAGGACGGCTGGGTGGGAGCTGGGAGCTCTAAAGCCTCCGATGGCCATGCTCAAAGATGCAGCAAACATTACCAGCCTTCATCACACAATGCTCTCTGCTGTGTTGGTGGGTGGAACTTCATGGGTATCAGTTTCTGCCCGTTGTGGAATCACCTGTGCTGGGTTGGGTATGGTTCTTAACATATTGGTTCTTGAATGTTGTCCAAAGATGGTCTTTTAAAAATGTCAAAATGTGATGGCAGCTTAAAAAATCCTGTAGAAAAGCATCAGTAGAACTGGTTGAAAGTGACACATAAGTTACTACTCCATTGCTAATGGGGAGGTGGTTGTCTTGCTTTTCTGCATCATTGAAAGGGCAGACTTAACTCCCTAAGAATTTCCCTTGGCACAGGAGCAAGACACACAGTCCTGCTCCTGCTGCTGGATCACAGGGGCAAGCTGAGACAACAGCTACGGGAAACTGATGTCCACATCATGAAAAACTCCCCGGAGCAATCAAAACATAGCACAGCTCGTGTCAGAGCAGCCGTCCGCTACGCTCAAAGGCCTTACCAGCATATGAGCAAGCCAGGAATTAGTGATGCACAAGCACGGCATTTAATTATCGTTCACCCTTTATACCATGTACTTTATACTGACACCTATATCCGGAGTCTTGCTTCAGGTGGTGTTGGGGGGAAGAACTCCCAAAATCTTCACTGTGTTACTTTTAATAGCGTTTCGGAGGTCTAGCAATTTGGCTCTGCCCCTCTACGACTGCCTGGTACTACGTGCCGAGGCAACTCACTTCACCTGATCCGTGTAAAATGGATATTCTTCCCCCCCCCCCCCACTTTTCACTGGATTTCCGAAGCTCCGCTCGCCCCTCGCGGGCGGCCGCGGGGAACATGGCGGTCGGGGAGGGGGGGCGGCGGGGCGGGACGGCGGGAGGGGCAGGGGCAGGGGCAGGGACGGGCCGGGGCCAGGGCCAGGGTGGGGGAGGCTCGGGCCGCGGCGGCGCTGGGGGGTCCCGGGCGCCGTAACCAGGAACGTCCCACTCTGACGGCAGCGGGCGGTGAGTGCGGAGCCGGGGCGCGGGGCAGAGGCGGCGGGAGCGGCGGCGGGACGGCGGTGGATGCCCGGGGCGGAGGACCCTGTCCCAGCCCTTTGTTCGCTGCCGCAGGGAGCGCGGGGGCAAAATGGCGAAACCGCCCCCCAGCTGGATCCCGCGCGCTTTTTGTGTGCCGGCACGCCCGGTCAGGCTGCCCGGGGTTGGGGTGGGATGGGATACTGCCCCTGCTCCGGGATGTGATGGGATACTGCCCCTGCCCCGGGATGTGATGGGATGCTCCTTGCCCTGCCCAGCCCCAGGCGGGCCACCCCGCCGAAGGCCGCTTTCACTCCCCGGTGAGCAGCGGGGCCGCGAGGGGACGGAGAGCGCCGGGTGCCCCGGGCAAAAGCCGCCTTCCCAAAACGCACACCGGTCCAGAAGTATTGGACAGGCCCGCAGAGGTGGTGCGGGCATGCTTAGAGAGAAACTCGAGGGGAGGCGTTTTTGCAAACAGCCTCAGACAGCTTCACTAGAGGGGAGCTAAGTTATGTTTTTACAAAGTATTGGCCCAGTAATGTCTTTAATTACGCTCTTAGGAAAGTACAGATAAAAATGGAAAAAAGGCGTCTCTCCAGACTGACACTGCTGCCTAAGGCTACAGCAGCAACGGAGATAGAAGCATTTCTGTGAGTACTCCTGGCTGTCTGGGACCCGTGGTTGGGCATAGCTGCAGAATTAGCTGAGATAACTTTCCCCGAGTCCCCAACTTCCAAGAAATGCTAATATCAACGTTATATTGTTTAGTGGACTCTTTTACTTTTCTGGTCTGCATATTTGCATTTTTGGTGGTGGTTTTTTTGGTTGTTTGGCTTGGGTTTTATTTTTCAGTATGCTGTCTTGCAGATGGGTGAAGGATTGAATGGTGAATGGCAGTTGGAGGCAGTGGGGAATAGGCTGCTAAGGAATTGGGAGAAATAACAGGGTTTCACAAAATGAGGGTTTGAGTCAGTGGGATGGATGCTAAGAATGAGAAGTCAAGGATTAAAGATTCTTAAGCATTTCTGTAGCATGGACCTTGGCTTAATGCAAGAAAGTGTTTTTCAAACCTCATATACAGAAAGCCAGTTCCCCCAGTCCTTTGGTATTGGCAGAAAATACAATCACATCTGTAGCTAAGGTGATTATGAACATGGAGAAGCGATGTTGGGAGAGTACATGCAATGGTTCCCAAGTCTTTGAATGTTACTTAGCAACTGTTAAGAAAGAGTCAGCAGGGTATGACTAGCCAGGCATCCCCAGACCACCAGCAAATTCTCCATAGGCAGAATACAAGGTAACAATTGGGATAAACAGGCAGAATTTTTTTAAAAAGTGACTTCCTTTAAAGTAAGAGAAGCAAAGACTGATAGTGATGTTCTTGTTTCTTCACAGGCTAGATGAAGGGACTGAGTAAGATGCACAGCTGGTAAGTATGACCTAGAAACAAGTAATATCCTTAGAAAATTTTAAAGTAAAATGTGCTAATTGTCTTTCTTGTTACCCCCCCTTCAGTTCTTCTTGTCTTTCAAACAGTTTGTTCCCTGTTCTAGGCTTGATGCTGCCATTGATCTCTTTGGTGTGCCCACAGGCAATTTACTGCCCCTTCGCTTGCCTGTCTAAAATGATTTCCTGTGTACTACAGGTAAATTTTAACACAGGCAAAAGGGCCTCCAGTCTTTGGAAGGAGTTTGAAGAAATACTGCCTGAATGTTTCTGAGCGTTGTTCTGCTTCTAAGTTCTCAGCATGTCTTGGCTGCTCCAGCTCTGCATGCTCTGACCATGAGCAGCAATTCCTCCCTCGGCAATGTGAAGGGCCTGAGGAACCTCACCACGCACGAAGATGGGGCAGTCAGAGTCACCGAGTCCATTGCTATCATCGTCATTGCTATTTTCATCTGTTTGGGCAACCTGGTGATTGTCGTCACCCTGTATCGGAAGTCTTACCTTCTCACGTTGAGCAACAAGTTTGTGTTCAGCCTGACCCTTTCCAACTTTCTGCTCTCTGTACTGGTGCTGCCTTTTGTTGTCACCAGCTCCATCAGGCGAGAATGGATCTTCGGAGTTGTTTGGTGCAATTTCTCAGCCCTGCTCTACATGCTGATCAGCTCAGCCAGCATGCTGACCCTTGGACTCATAGCTATAGACCGGTAAGCCACTCGTTTTAATGAATTGTAGCAAATTGTCTAGTCATCTCATAGAGAGACTTTTTGGCTGTTCACAGAGTTTGGAAGCAATGCGGAGGGTAACTGCGTAGTTGTAGTGTCATTTTTTCTTCATCCCCTTGTGAAATTTTGATCTAGACCTCGACAAAGTGATGTCATCAATAATGCAAAATGCAGACGTGCATCTTAAGTTTTTTAGCACTTGATGGTGTAATAACACACTACTTGAGAAACGTGAAATAATGACTTAAAATTCCAAATTCTACCCTAAGCATGCACTCACACACAGGAACAGATTTAATAGTTGCATGTGTGCCTTCAGCCAAGTTTGACTGCAACAATACATATTTTTACATGTAGCTGTTTTTAAAAACAGGGTCCCCGAGCCCACTTTGATGTTTGAAGAAGAAAGGGCTAGATATCAATGTCATTAAAATATGTTCCTTTCTTTGTCCTATGTCTTTTGTGCTTCTGTTGACTACTGTTTTTCCTGCCCGCCAGGTACTATGCTGTCCTGTACCCGATGGTTTACCCAATGAAGATAACGGGCAACAGAGCAGTGGTAGCTCTTGTGTACGTGTGGCTACATTCCCTTATTGGCTGCCTCCCTCCTCTTTTCGGCTGGTCGTCTTTAGAGTTTGACCAGTTCAAGTGGATGTGTGTGGCGGCCTGGCACAAAGAGGCCGGCTACACTGCCTTTTGGCAGATCTGGTGCGCGCTCCTGCCTTTTGTGGTCATGATGATCTGCTATGGATTCATATTCCGTGTGGCAAGGATTAAGGCCCGCAAAATCCACTGTGGTAGCGTCATCATCGTGGAGGAGGACTCGCAGAGGAACGGGAGGAAAAACTCCAGCACCTCCACATCCTCGTCTGGCAGCCGAAGGAATGCTTTCCAAGGGGTTGTTTACTCAGCCAACCAATGCAAAGCTTTCATAACCATCGTGGTTGTCATCGGGGCTTTCGTGATTACGTGGGGGCCTTACATGGTAGTAATTACATCAGAGGCACTTTGGGGAAAAAACAGTATTTCCCCTGCTTTGGAGACATTGGCTACATGGTTGTCCTTTTCCAGTGCCATTTGCCATCCGCTAATTTATGGACTGTGGAACAAGACAGTGCGCAAGGAACTACTAGGGATGTGCTTTGGGGATCGGTATTATCGTGAGTCCTTTGTTCAGCGGCAGAGGACATCGAGGTTATTCAGCATTTCCAACAGGATCACAGGTAAGACGTGGCTGCAAAAGACACTCTTCCTTAACACCACTAAGAGCAAGGTTTCATGTCTGTGTGTGCTTGGCGTGTTTCAGGGCTCTCTAAAAAAAGTGGGATGTTTCTGGAGTTTTCATCAGTCTTTTGCTCAGGCTATCATTGGCACTTGAGAGGAGAATTTTTTTTTTTGGTGGTTAACATGTTTCTCCTACTCTAGTAAAATTTTCTCAGCCAGAGAAAAACATAGTGTTAAGGTTAATAAAAAATATTTATTTTATTTTTTCTCAAGCATTTCCTTTTGTGTTGCCCACATTTGAGCTCTACCAGTAGTACTTTTTCTACACTTTTTCTATGATTCCTGGCTTTATGATACAACTCTGAGATCCACTGAAGTTACACTGGTGTTACTGTAAATTCAGTTTTTAGGCTTAATGATTGTGAAGAAAAGATCATTAACAAAGTAAAACTATGTAAAAATAGAACTATTTGGTGTCTCCCCATATTGCAGGCTGAGAGCTTCAGTTGCTCGGTTTGGTGGTTTTTTTTTTTTTTAAAGTAGCAATGCAATGACATTCTGATTTTTTCATCATTTGCCTTGCCCTGTTCAGAAGCTTCCAAAAATAGAACACTTTCAAGGGATATTTCATGCTGAGGCAGGAACTGAAGTTATTTAATTGGGAAGGAAGATCTAAAATGCAGAAGGAAAGTGAGAGCAGCAGGGCATCTTATCTTTTCTGCAGCCTGGGATTACTGGGAGAGACTGTCATCTGAATGATGACATCGCAAGCTGCAGGAGTTTTGACAAATCTGTGTCCAGGAGATGCTATGGATAAACACACTGGGAACTGGGGTGGAAGGGAAAAGACAGGAAATTTCTTTCTCTTTCCAAGCAGTAAGAAGCTGACAGTTTCAAGTTTATCAGGGGTATTAGCTGTAGGCTGAGAGGGAGGGGAAAAAGAGCCCCACCAAACCCAAAACAAAATCTTGAAGTGAGATTCAAAGAAGGCACCTTTGTAAAAAACCTAGGATCTCTTCCTTGTTTTGAAGATTTGAAAGAAGTCAGGTATGTCTGTGCTTCAGCCTTGCTCATAAACTTCGTTACTCACTAGTGGCCTGTAACAGCTGCTGGTGGCTACCATGTTATTCTCTGTCTAGAAGATGCCTGGCAAATATCCTCATCCCTGTGAGCATATACACTCGGTGTTCAGCCTGTCTGGCTCATAAAATACATGTAGTTGAAATAAGAGTGGGAAGGAGATGGTGCAGGTAGAAAGGAGACTTTCCTTAAGGAAAGACTCCAACAATACCTGAGAGCTGCTGATGAGATTTCTAAGATGGGAAGTCCAGAAGCTGTGCATTCTGAATCAGCAAGGTAAGTTTTATAAGCAGAATAATAAATAAAGCAGTAGAGTGAGTATTACTGGAAGAGGCTTTTACTATTGCAAACCCCTGAAACATTCACAGGAACAAAACTTTCTTGCAGATTTGGGACTATCTCCTCATCTTACTGCCCTCATGGCAGGTGGACGGCCATTAGGAAACAGCAGCAGCACAGGAGACACAGGTTTCAGCTGCTCACAGGATTCAGGTAACTACAAGTCTCTTGCTTTCTTTACTTGGGCAGAAGCTTGCACTTGGCAGAACTCACTGGGATAGTCAGTATTTACACACACAGATGTCTCTTGGTGGATGAATGACATGAAGCATCTGTTCCAGCTGTTACAACAAAACTGCTGCAGTTGCTTTTTTCCTTCCTTGCTCTCAATACATTTACTTGCAAAATGTTGTTTACAGAATGATGACCCTCCCTTGTTAATGTGTCCTGGGAACAAGACTCACTGCTTTTGTGCCCTTCTCCTTTAGTTTTCTATTGTTCTTTGGAGACTTTCCCTGTATCCACAAGGAACAGAGCAACAAAGGACTGTGGAGAATGTGCTTCTCTTTTCTATTTTGTAAAAGACCTTGTTTTGTTCATCCTGCAATGTAAACATAAACACTTGGGATGGCTTTAGCTTATGATTTCATCACTACTTAAGATCTCTCAATTGAAGTTGTTTTGGAAAAGGGAAAAACAGTTCTGCCAGTAATTTTCTATCCAGAACTGTTGCTAGATTTTTCTGGCAGTTGATTCAGCTACCACCACTCCTTAACTGCACTAGTTTAAGAGTATTTCTGCTCTAGAGACAGCGGAGGGTGATCTTCTAACGTTTGCTTGGTGTAAGGGGTTTGTTTCTTTTGTAAAGGAAAACTGTGGAGCTGGGATTTATTTATAGTGTTGTTTTATGCTGGTAGTTTTATGCCTGTTGTGAGTGTTCTGCAGCTTTATGTGATAAAGGAGAATAATGTCCTGGTAAACCCGCATCAGTAAAGTGGATGTTGTGTTACCATTTTTTGAATGACAGTGAGCAGTTTAAACAAATGAACAAACTAAGGAGATAGTGAATGCTGTTGGAAGTGCCACTGTTGGTTAAAGAGGGAGTATGGTCCATAGCCTGGGAATGGATATACAGTGATGCACTGTGACATACTGTTTCACTGGATACTTTTGCTGTGAGGAACTAAAGAGCAGCAAGAAGTTGTAGTCCCTCTTCATTGTTGCCCGCTGCAACATTGTACGTGTAGTACGTGATCCCGTGGCCTGTAGTGCAGTTGTGTCTTTATCTTCCCTGGTAAACAGAACCTGGGCTTTTCATGTTGTGAAAAACAGATAAAGTATGGAAGAGGAAAAAAATCCAAGTGGCGCCAGCTGTACACAAAATATGAAGTGAGACCTGAGTCCCAGTTACTAGAAATGTTGCCTTAAGATCAGTTATTCCAAGGAAAAAGATCCACCATGTAAGAGGCTAGTTTCTTCACCAGCCACGTTTGAAAAAAAGCACTAGAATTCTACTGCATGGAAGAATATATCTTTCTTCCTAGTGCCACTCTTCCGTTACATGCTACATTTCTGAGGAGGATTTGGTACCCTAGTAGATCAGTAAGAGTCTACTGTTTTCAGATCAAAAGCAGTCAAGTGGGTGAAGAGGGATGTGAAGTCACCCTCCAGAGGAGTTACAAAATCCAGAAGGGACTTTGTCCTAGGCCTGTTGTCACATCACAGGAGTAAATGGAGTGATAGTATAGTGCCACACATTAAATGTGTCCAATCTATGTCTTCCAACAACAGCTTCCCTGAGGACTGCTTTCTCAGCAGTGTCCTAGTGTGTCCACAAAATACTTGCTCTGCTTTTCCTTTATGCAGCAGAGAGACCAGCATTGCAAGGGAGGTGTAGGCTGCAGTCTTGCCCTCTGTGTGAAAGCATTGCAGAGGTGCCAAGAATTTCCTTGTGTTTTTTAAACTCTTATTTTATGTTGGAAAGGTGCAAAGCAGATTCAGGGAGGTGAATTTAAAAAAAAAAAAAATCCTGAACTGGAAAAAAGACTCATTGGACAAAAATCATTCCCAATCAGCAAGGGGTTTTTCCCCATTAAAAAAACACTTAAAGAAAGTGAAAGTAGGTTACTAGAGACAAACTAAATTGAACAGAAAAATTCTGCAGTTCAAATTCTACCCAGGTCTGATTACAAGCAGGCATTTGGCAGCTATGGTTGTCTGCCTCTTGGGTAGCCACTGTTAGCCTCTTGTCTTCATCAGGAAATGGAAGAAGTTGCTCTCAACTTTACCTTTTATTTACTGAAGGTAAGGTTTCACCTTAATTTGCTGTCCTATTGACATTATAAGCTCTTCAGCTGAGAATTTTGAAGCTGTTTGAAGTTTTAGATGGCTAGTGAGAAAAGATTTCCCAATCCTTTGAATGAAAACTCTGACCTCATTCTTTTCCTTTTCAGTGTTTAATTTGAGCTGAAATTTACTCCCAAAAACTGGGTTAAGACCTCTTTTGAAGGAACTGCTATAGACAGAAAAGTTTTTGCCACGACATTGTATCCCAGTGTTACTGTCTTACTTGAGAAAGCTTTTATTGTTTCAGGAACAGATACAATGCTTCTTGAAGATTATAGCTCAGATGGCCCTCATGCCCCACACTGCATCTGTCCTCCTCGACGGAGGAGTTCAGTGACATTTGAAGATGAAGTAGAGCAAATTAAAGGTGAGTTTAGGGGTAAGTATGTAAATGCTCAGAACTAACTATATTGCCTGCTCAGGAAGCCTCTCAGGACCTTCATAATTGTCTTACAACATCACTGATCACTCTTTGCCTTGACAGACCTCACCATTCATGCAGGTACAAGAGAAAGCAAGATCAGGTCTTCTTCCAATTCTCAAGTAACAACAGACAAGGACAAGAGTTAGAAGCTGGGATTCCCGGCATACATATCATTTATATAGCACAGCAGTATCCTCTCTGCAACTCCATTTATCTTGGTGGCTGTTGCAGTCTGTTTTATGTTTCTCAGAGAATATATTTTCCTGCGCTCATATTTTGATTGCATTATCCCTGTGTTCCTCATTTGCTGCCTCCTCTCAACTTTATCATTCACAAACTTGAAATTCTTCTATTTACACACTTGAATAGTCTGAATATAATTTCATTCTGTTATACTTACTTTTTTTACTTACCCAGCAAAGTGAAATAGAAGCTATGTTCCTCAGCAGATGTGGGTGAAAATAGATGAACCACATGCACTTATTTCAGTCAAATCACTTTTTGATTCTCTGCTAGCAAAGTGTTGCTGTGATCATCTGTAAACTGTTGGAAAGTTAATTTACACTGGTAGTTACAATAATATGGAATAGAAGGCTAACAACCTAATTTTCTAAACATTATGTGATTGTGGACAGTATGAAAATGAGCAGAAAGCCTTTAAGATTCAAGTAATAATAAAACCTGAGACAATGACAATCCTTTCTATGGAATTTTTAAACATGTTAGCAAAATTCACTTTAGTCCTCTTCCCAGCATGAGATAATTTCCTTGTACAAATACTTTACCATATACATTGCCCATTATCTTTCTGAGTGATTACATGGGAGCTGATATCTAATTTTTCGTCTGAGCAAAAGAGGAAGGTTTTAGTGAAAAAGTTCCTCACAGGTTTAGCAATTCTCCCTGGTAAGTCTCAGGGTTTTCAGGATCTCTGAGACTTTAAATTATTTCAGCAGCCTCACTGAAGAGTTACATTTAGGATGAACACCTTTGTTGCTCAGCATGTTGGTGGGTAGAGAAGTATACAGATGCTACAAGAGCAACTGCACCAGCACTGAAGAGCAGGTGTATCCCACGTCACTCTGGGATATTGTGTTCATAGAACGGTTTTGAAAGCCTAAGTATTGTTGGCAAATGTGCTCTGCAGAACAGTTATTTTGCAGAGGACGTTATCATACCTGTAAAAAAGGATCAATATTGGTCTTCAAGCATTTGCACAGCTGTGCTGATCAACACTTATGCTGCCTTTTTTTTACCTCTTTTTTTCCAGAAGCTGCAAAGAATTCTGTTCTTCATGTAAAAGCCGAAGTCCATAAATCTCTGGACAGTTATGCAACTAGTCTAGCAAGAGCTATTGAAGCTGATGTGAAACTCAGCTTGTTTGGGGAAGATGCTTTACCAGGAGCCCTGTTCCCAGTACGGACTCTGCCAGGAGGCAGCATGAACACACGGCGTGGTGCCAGGCCCCATGCCAACCAAAGACTGAAGTTGCAGAGCATCGATGAAGGGAATATCTGACACCAGCACTGGAGTAAGAAAACAGAACAAAACCACTAAGCAGGACCTATTGCAGCTGTTAGTGTTTCAACAGAACCAGGATACCTTGGCGGAATGTTTTCAGTGTTTTTTCAACACCAGCTGAATTTTGGTACTTGCATCAGCATTTTACAGTAGTGTTTGTTTACTGTTTAGGGTGCTATTGACTTTTCTGTGCCATGTCTTTATCACACAGTTCATAGGAATGCAGGGTTTGGTTTCACTGACCAGATTATTAGTCTGTTGAATCTTGGGTCCATTATTGGCCAAAGCTGATAAAGGAAAAAAGCAGGAAAAGTATGTGCAGTGTTTTAATTTATTGTTGTATCCATCATCTTCTGAACACCAGGATAATCAGTTGATACTTGATAGCTGGAGTGCTCTGATAGGAGCTTGTGCATGGGATACTACATACAGCCTTACTGTCACAGACTCCTAGATGAGGAGCACGGACTTCACTGAGGGCAAAACCTGAATTTTTCAGAGAGCTCACGCAGCTTATAGTCCCACTTACCTTTGCTGGGGGATATTTCTGTTTGTTCAGCCATCAGAATGGCACATCAGATCTGACAGTGGACTGTGCATTGCTTCAGAGGTACGGAGCACCAGCCTCTCTGGATATAGTGAGTGGGAGCAGACCTGTGCTGGAAAAGCATAAAGATGGTATTTGAGGAAATCATTAATGCAGAATTCTTAGTTTCTCTGAGAACTTCAGCTCATGTCCCTGGTTTTGCTGTTACTAAAAGGGCACTCTGTGGCTGTGCTAAGCTCGACAGAATATAAACAAGATATTGCCGCTTCATATTCAGGATTCACCTTTTCTAGAGAGAAAAGAGTTGTTTGGTGTTTTGGTTTTTTTTAATCATGAGGGAATGTAGTATTTAAGCTATACTTACCTCAGTGCTTCTATTTCTTGGAGTATTAATTAATCTCAAAAATAAGAACATTTGGCACTTATATTGCACTTTGCATGTTCTTAAGCACTGTACAGACATTACCTTGTTAGGCCTTTGTGAGAGGGTTGATCAGCCCTGCTTGCCAAAGAAGGGGAACTCAGCACAGTCAAGCTGCTGGCAGTGAAACAGTCTGCAAAGGTGGAAAGGTTTGTTATGAAAAGAAGGATTAGGTGGATCATACAAGTATATCCAGCTTCAGGAACCGTTCTGTGCCTTCTTGGGCAACCCCCTTCTGTACTTTGGAGGGGTTACAGCCCTGCCTTACTGCATATTTCAAGGAGAGGGAAACAAAAGTGAGCAGGATAATTCCATGGGGGTGGGCAGTGAGTAGCAAATGGACTTAAGGACCAAGGATTTGCATTTGTTTACTCTGTGTCTGTTCCCCTATGCCTTCACCTTTCCCAGAAGTGGCTTGTATGAGGTTTTGCTGGAGATTGTTTGGAAATCAGGAGTAGGATGTTCCCATCTGAGCAAAAACTGGGTGTAGACTTGTTTTGTCTTTGTGTGAGTTATTCAGAGACACAGAAGTGTCGTGAGGCAGAGCCTCAGTCCAGTACTGTATTTAGACATCCTATTTGTCTGTGTTCCTGACTCAGAAATGTATTTCAGCACAAGCTTATGTCCATCTCTGGACAAAGCAACTTGACTTTATGAACTCGCCTGAATCCCATTAAGTTCCCATGCAAAATATAACTGCATACTTAAAATTCAGTACATGGTTTGCTGATTTAAGAACAGGCTGTTACAGTAAGAACACTTAAGCTCCAATAAGATGGCTCTTTGCATAATGCAGGAAGAAAACAATAATAGGGAGGTTCTTACTCCTGCATTTTTTGCTTTTGGTGTGTTAGATAAATTGGCACCTGTGGGCATTCGTTAGAAAAGCATAACTAAAAATCCCAGTATTTGCCAGGAAGTGCCCTGCAGTGAGGTCATTATTGCTATCGTTAACATTACAATCACAGCTGCTTCTAGTACTCAACACTCCTTAAGCTACACGCTTGCCTGCTTGCCTCGAAGTGTTTTGTCTGCATCCCTTTTATTCAATATTCCTGCTTCGGAACAAGCTGAGCAAAGTCCTTGCTGAATGTGAAAAGGGCACACAGTTACGTATGCATTGTGGTGGACTCGGTTCCGGCCCAAAACGGTCTGTGTTTAGGCAGAAAAACTCCAGGGCATATGTGAAAGGACAAAGTCGTTAGTATTGTGTAAAAAGCACGTTTTTCACACAGGTACTGAGCCAAATTCAGCCTTCAGGCAGGTTGGGGGCAGGTTGCGTCAGTTTACACCGTGACTGAATTTGGCTGCCAGTGTTAATGTCACTAATCCGTTATTTAGTGTAAATATTGTTAATATTTTTGTACACACGTTATAACCCTTCTGTAATTCTGCTACTACCCGAGTCATTCTCTCACCTGAGTTGTCATTAACGAAGAAATGCACACGTTTTGTAAAACTATTCCCCATCCTAAATACAAAAGAGAAAAAAAACAAACACTCGTTTCCGGCTCTTGATGGTCTGCGCTATTTGTTTACACTACTGTTATTTCAACTTGAATTAATCTTTTAAATGTTTTACTTTTAAAAGCACGTTCAGCTCCCAGGATGAGCCTGACAGCGGCAGGAGCTGGAGCAGTTTTCACAGGACGGGGAGGCATTCTGGGTCGAGCAGGGCTCTCTGAGCCCGGGCAGGTTTTGGGAGGGCGGCGGTACTGGATGTGATCCCGATCCCGGGGCGGTGCCCGAGCCTTTCCCGCATCTCGTTGGCCACGCCCCCTCCCCATGGCCTCGCCCCCTTCCCTTCGGCTCCACCCTCCTCTCCCCGCCCATGGGGGCGCGGAGGTGGGCGGGGCACAGGGAACACAGCGCAGCGACGATTGGCTGCGCACCACGTCCCTTGCCCCGCGCTGATTGGTCGGTGTGCGGACGCGGAGGGGGATTGGCTGTTTCGAAGCGCGGATGCGGCGGTGCCGAGCGACCATGGAGGCCGTGCCGTGCGCGGAGCATGGTGAGGGGCGGCCCGGGGGGTGTGCGGGGGGTGTTGTGTGTGAGGGGGGTCCCGGTCCCGGTCCCGGTCCCGGTCCCGGTCCCGGTCTCGGTCTCGGTCTGACTAGTTCCGCGCTTCCCCCTCCCCGCAGGGTCCCTCTGCTTCCTGAAGACGGGCGTCCGCGATGGCCCCAACAAGGGGAAGAGCTTCTACGTGTGCGGGACGCGGGGCCCCGCGGAGTGCGGCTATGTCCTGCCGGCGCCGTAAGTGCATGGGGCGGTGGGACAAGGGGCACGGGACACAGGCGGCTGCCCTCAGAGAAGCTCAGTGCTATGTCAGCGCTGTCTGACTCACGTAGTCTTTGTTTTGTCCCACGTGACACTTTTGTTTTGCCGTGGCTGTTCCCCTTCTTGTCTGTATTCTTCCGCTTGTCCTTTCCGCCTTTCAGTGTCCCTGCTTCTCATTGCTTGATCCATGAGGGATGCATGGTGGAGCTGCAGGTCCTGGTCCAGCGGCAGGGCAGAGATGAATACGAGTAAGTTCCTCAAATTTTTTAAAAGCTGGATGTCTGCCTTAAAACAGGTGAAACCTACGTTCCTTCTTCTATCTTTATCTTATGTTCAGTGCCTAAAATAATTTTCTTAAACTGCTTCTGACTAATGGTCCTTTAGTTTATTAGTTACAGGTAAGAAAACTTGAATTCTGTGATTTAGTAGTTTTTCTGTAATGAGGCTTCAACATCCACATAAGCTGTACCTGTGTCCTGTGGGGGAAAGAGGGCTGTTCTTAGAGCATCTCATTTTTATGCCGTATTTGAAGACTTAGGATGCTACCTCTTAAAAACAGAGATCTTTTTTGTTAAGAACAGGAGGCTGTTCACTTTCTTCATTATTTGTGAACAAGTGAAAGACTTGAACTGCCAGTCTTTCAAAGTGGAAAGGAGGGTTTGTTGTGCAGGTTGGAACATTTGGAATTGTTTGATGGCAGCTGACTTGTACTTTCCTTCTGGAATTGAAAAGACTCATCCAGCTTGGAGGTCTTCACTTAGCATGTTTGCCACTGTTATTAGAAGTTATATCCAATGATAAAAACCCGAGTCATCAGAAAATGTTTGTTTTTAACAGAGTTGGCTCTGTGGTTAGGTTCATCCAGAACTCGTGATGGTTGCATCAAATTCACCAATTTTAATTCTGATAAAGTTCTTGCAGCACTCCTGGTTGGCTGCCAGTTAAAAAAAGAAATCACATCCGAAGTTTTTCTTTTCCATAGTTGCTTTAATATGAGGTAGCCTGTGCAGTGTAACTAAAAGAAGAGCTGTTTCCTTACACCTTGAAATCATAGGATTCTTCTGATGCTCTGAGTGTAGATAATACTATTGCCTGAGCAGTTACATTTTTATTACTAAAATCAAAAAAACCGCAACAAAATAAGCCCAACCCCCTAGGAATCGTTATTCAGAGAACAGTGCTTTTTGTAAAAAGCTTTGCTGCCAATGTTCCTGGTCTTTTGTTATGCAAAAGTCTGAAGGTAAAGTACAGATTAAGAGAACTTTTCTGGGTTGTTTTTTGTGTGAAGTACTTTTTAAAGAATGCTTAGAGCTTCTTTACTAGTTCCTATGGTTCAAATCTTGTTTAATCTTTGGTAGGTTGTTTTACCGATGCCTTAAGAGTAAGCTGAATGGGAAGAAATGGTGTGGAAGCGTCCCATGGCAGGTATGAGTGTTTTGTTTGTATTGTAGTATCACCTTATTCCAACATGACTTTTCATTCCTTATCCAGTCATCGCCTCTGAGACTATTTAATGGGAGATTTTATATTTTCTAGCTGATAAGTTTATCAGCCTTCTGTCCTCTAGATGAGACTTCTCTTTCTCCTAAATTGTGTGAAGTCCTGATTCTATTAAAATGATAGGAAAGATGATCTTTGTAGAGGATGAAGGCTTGCTTGAGATGGTCAGGTTCTGTGTATAGTTAAGAGGCTTTAATAAGTTGTATGTCAGCATTTACTCACTTGTATGTGTTGCAGGATCCAAAAGCTACCAAAGTGTCAAAAGCTTTAGAATCCCAGCCCAACACAGGAGCCCTCTCCAATCCCACCAGCCACAGAAATCCATTCAAAGTGCTGGACAAGAATTGTGCACCATCAGTCTGGAAACAAATGAACCAAGGAAACAGGGAGGAAAGTAAAGCAAAAGGAGTAAAAGCAGAGAAGGAGAGTGTGCTGGTGTCACATAAAGAAAAGAAATCAACTTCTGATTCCTCCATAGAGGTACAACCTCTAGAAGTGCTGAAAACTAAAACGAAACCGTCCACAGGGAGTACAAGTGATCCTGAACTTCAGGAAACTACAATGTCTGAATCTAAACTTGGCCTTTCTGAGACCAGGAAAGGGAAAAATAGTCTTTGGGAGGAAGAGAAATATGGTGGCAGTGGCAGGGAACCCAAGAAGTCTTCTGAATGTGCGGACAAAGAGCCAGGCGCAAGATCAAAACTCTTTCCACGAAGTCTTGAAAAGCAAAATACAAGTACCAAGACACCAGAGGAGGAGCAACTTGAAGAAAAAAGCTTAAAAATCTATAGGGATAAAGAAATAAGAGAGAAAGGTTGCACTGGTCAGAAAAATGGAGAAATTAAACCGATGGCTAAAGAAGATGCTATTTCTCCAGCAGTGCCACCATCCCAGTGTGCTGCCCTGGCAGGAGGAGCGGAGGCAGCGCTGCCCAAGGCACAAATCAGGCCAGGGCTGCCACAGCCTGCTCGTGAAGCCTCTGGCAGTGACAGTGATGAAGTACTATTTGTTTACTCCTCATCAGGTAAAAGTAAACCTGAGAAAACAGTGGAGATTCCTTCAGGAAAGACTGTGCTGGGGACATCTTTGCCAGGAGCAGCAGCATCACATCACATGGAAAGACCCCAAGACCGTAAAGAACTTCATAACCATCTTGTAGTCCAGCTGAAGCAGAAAAAGGTCATTTTTTGTACCTATTTATTTGGGGGTTTTATTATTCTGGGTTCAGGGTGACTTCCCTTACTCATGACAGGCATCAGAAGATGGTATCACCTCACAGCAGAAACTCAAAATGTGATTTAGGAAGATGGGGCAAGGGAGGGAATTCAGCCTATGCACAGACTAGTTGTATTAAGCAGATAGAAGACAATTACCCCTAAGGTAATACAACTTTCTGTATTTGAGAATGCTCAGTTTTGACCTGCCTGAGGTTGTGCCTGTCTTTTACCCAAAAGTAATTTGCATAAGGTGGATTAGTGCACAGCCACTTCACTTTTTTAAGTAACCTGGCTGTTTCTGTTGGTCTCTCTTGGCCTTGTGCAGTAAGAGTGATCTAACTACAAAAACTCACATTAAGATGAAATAACCTGTCTGTTTGGGTTTTTTTAATAGTTGGCAGTAACTATGTTCTATAGTTTTTATTACCCCCTTGTTTGCCTAGACTTCAGAACAGAGCCTCAAAATAAAGTCAGAACAGTTGATTGTGCTAGTGTAGAAAGAAACATGCAAGTAGGTTTAACGTTGGGTGCTTTGAGAGATGTTAAGATTGTCCAAGTTTCTTGAATACCTGTTTCATAAAAATGGGGATTCCCTGTGTCCTTCCATCTTTTCTAAACAACATTAAGGGTTAGTTTATTTTCTGCTAAAAGACTACTTAATTGCATTGAATGGCACTTGAAAGCTTTTGGAGATTGCAGAACAGTATCAAAATACAAGTTAATATGGCATAAGATTAGTGTTTTTAAACTTCTGATGTGATTGTTCTGTGTTGGCAGAGAGCTTGTTAACCATATTCAGGTTTTGGTTTCTTTCTTGTTTTGCAGAGTACATTGGCTAGAGTGAACATTCAGCTGCTGCCAGATAAAGGAGAAAGGTTATTAAAGCAAGTGCAGGATTTGGAAGCTGCACTCAGTGCTCTTAACATTTCAACAGCAGATACTAATGAAAAAGGTAGGGCTAAAATTTTTTTGCTCCAGAAACAGCTTGTTTCAAAACAGGTTGTACAAAACAGCTTGTGTTACAACAGTTGTTAATACTGAGGAAATATAGTATAAACTTATATATGACATGTGGTCTGTATAAAGTTTGTCTATTGAGATTCACTGAAGATGAAAAGTGTTAATTGTAAAGTATGAGTTTGGGAGCAGATGAATGGAACAACTGTGATGTTTTCTCTGAAGTGCGGTGGCTTCCCAAGGGAGTTTCCTCCCAGAATTAGGTTCCAGGGCTAGTTTTCCTTCCAGCTTTGGCTACATGATTGAGACAGGTGTCTCTACGAGACTGTGTGAGTGAAGTGTTAACTTCCTCTGTTGCAGTATAGAACCATGCTGTTTATGCATGTCGTTGTGTCTGGACTTTTCAGTTACCAGATACAAAATAAGCAGCTTCCAGTTTGCCATTCCTATAAAGTGATATCCCAATTCTACTAACTGGTATTAATTGCCTGTGCAAGAGAGAAGCATTTTGCTGAGTTACCTCTACAATCCCCTCAACAGAAGAGTTACTTTGTGATCATAGTATCGATTGTGTTGATGAAAAGATCCAGTTTGACAGCTCTGGAAACTGAAAATCTCTAGCAAGGAAGCAGGAGCTCACAAGCTACAATACAACAAAGCAGCCAGAGTGCCTTATTCCATATCTGGTTTTAAGCAAGACAGACCTTTCTGTGAAGGAAGAGAAGCTCATGAGTTCTTGCCCATTCGTTCTTGGATGTTCTCGTAATTTTTGTGTTCAAAATATTGACAAGAAAGATGTCTTCAAAATTAATAAATCTTCTGGGAACAGTGTGCAAAACTGACGTTGTGTTGGCACTAATCTGATCACAGTTGCAGAGTTCACTGTGTTGCTATAAAACCATATATAGAGGCTGGAGCTGAGCTTATTGCCTGTCACGTAGGAGCAGGCTAAGAGGACACACATTAGTGTTTGTAGTGGCTCAGGTGATGTGGTGACCTGCTATTAAATTGCTGTGACCACTTAATATTTTGCAAGCAGACTATTGAGCAAAATTAAGGCTCTTCTCTGGGCTCTAGTACGAGGTTCTGAGCTTCACTGTGAAACCTTTATAGACTGTGATTCCTTTTTCCTTAAGGGCAGGATAGCACAAGCGGCAGCTGCCGTGAAGAATCTTTGCCTAACCCGTGTGACAGGCCAGGTGGTACAAAGTTGATAACACCACTCCCGCTCCAGGATCCTACAGCAAAGGCCTCTTCAGGCTCACACAGTCACCCCTCTGCTGCTGTTACTTTGGGTTCCAGTGAATATTGTGGCCAAAGTTTTGGAAGTAAGTATAGAAACATTTTTTCATTAAAGAGAACACTGTTAAGTACTACTTCTGAAATAATTCTACAATCTGTGGATATATGTGAGAGTACTAAACCTTTTTTGTTACTGTGAGCTGAATATCACCCCGCAGGCATCTGTAGCTGCTGAGGTCAGTCTCTGAGGTGAAAGATCTGCTTCGGAAAGTTATCTTTGTAAACACATCTTATGCTTAATCCTGTGTCTTTGCAGTGAGCTTCGGTATGCAGAATCTATATGGGGGAAGAATGACAGAAGACCGAATCAGGGCTGTACACAGTGCCATATGTGAGGCTATTAATCAGCTTCACAAATCTCTAGAATCCTGTCCAACAGAGCAGACAGTAGCTGAAGATCCCTCTGGATTGAAGGTGGGTTGGCAAGGATGGAGGCTGTCATGCTGATGAATGAAGCACAACCTCTGAGTGATACCCTAGAGCATCCCTTCCTTTCCACTTTGACGTACTTTGCAGTCTTCATCATGCTGGAAGGAGACATTCTAATTACATTCCATCCATGGGTGTTGCTTTATATTGCCAGTACTGGTGTTCTGCCCTCTTGCTGTGGTGCCTTCAGAACACTTAGTGCTTGAATGAAGTAGCGGGGTGTCAGACAAAGCAACCAACCCACAACCTTCTGTTTGTACGTGACTGGCAGAACAGAGGTGTGAGGAACAGGCTGAGAACCTTATTGTTCTTTTTTGCTGGTGAGTTATAAGAAATAGTCTTTCAAAAAAGTGTTGCAGGTGATTGACTTTGTTCAATGCCACAGATGTTCTGATCTGAAGAGCAACTCCTTGTCTGTCAGGTGATGCAGAACCTGTATTTGAGGCTATATGCAAGGTATTGGAAGGCACGTGCCTCTACAAGATGATGTGTTGATGCATATATGTTGTGTCACTTGTCACATCATCTTGGGACCTCTTAAGTGGTGGGGAAGGCCATTTAGTTTTTTGTGATGGTAGTATGTAATTCCTCTTCCTGTTTTAAGAGTCTGTAGGGATCTTAGACTTGGTGGGAAAAGGGGAGGTGTTCTCAATGCCTTTCCTTGACAGTGATACCTGTTGTGAGCAAGGTAGTCTTGGGTGGATTTTTCACCTGCTCTCTCAGAGCACTGTGAGGCAGTGGTTTGGTTTGTCCATGAAGCATTAGGAAGACTCATCAATGGTACTGCTGACCTCCTGTCTGCAGGAGTTGCTTACCTTGGGTATCCCAGTCCACGTGGAAAAAGAACAAGTATGTAAACTCCTTTTAGTAAGATGGTAGTAGAACAGTTCAACAGGATGATTGGTACAGGAAGCAGAAGAGTCTGAATTTTGCAAGGTGTTTGCTTCAAATCCTCTGTCTTGCCCTCTCAGATTCCACTGCTGCTGCACCAAAAACAGGCACTCGCCTGGCTACTCTGGAGAGAGAGTCAGAGGCCGCGTGGAGGAATTCTGGGTAAGCAACAGAACAGGAAAGTGGATTTGGGGGGCAGATTTATGGCAGCAGCAGTTTGGCATGTAACTTCCTTAGAGGCCAATTTTGTAGGAATGTTGAAAGGGCTATTTGGTATAGGCTACCCTATTACCAATTACAGCTGTTAACAATTACAAAATCATACCCTGAAATTTTCATACGTGTGTTTTTTATTTTCTGTGTTCCCCAGGGCAATTTCTGTTGTAGTATTTACCTCAGTGTAGATCTGAGTTAAGGGGGCTCATTTCTGCAGCCCATCACAACTTCTGTGTGTCTCTTTCCAGCGGATGACATGGGCTTGGGGAAGACTCTAACGATGATTGCTCTCATTCTGGCCCAGAAACAGCTGAAGTCAGAGAAAAGAAAGGAGACTTTAGACATATGGCTATCAAAAAATGGTACAGATTTTATATTTAATAATAGAAATGAATTCATAATATTGTAATTTATAATGAATATTTTATATTCATTACTTTATATTGTTTGGGGATTTATTTTTTATTGACTATTTTCCTGAAACAATTAAAGCCGCATATGCTGTTGTGAAAAAAGTTTCATAGTTTTTTAAGCATAAGCAAACACATGCATAGTTTTCATAAGGACTTAAAATAGTCACTACTCACCTCCCTGTGACTGACCTTTTTTTTTTCCCCCTCACCCCCATGATTACTTTTATCTTATCCATAGACATTAGGGATGTTAGACTTTTAAAAGAATGTTGTTTCTGTGTCCATAACCTGTTACTGTCTACATCCTCATGAGACTGGCTGGACTACTTTTTCCTGTATTGCCAAGTTTACTGACTGTGTGGATGTGTTCTTCCCGTGTGGTTCAAAATGGTAACATTTCAGTCTTCTAGAATAGGAAAGAAGAATTTACTTGATACTGTGTTTTCAGTAGGTATTAGAGTTAGTTCCTGTGTTCTAACCTTTCAGGCTTATCCAGAGGAAGTGCACAGGTATATAGCATAACTGAGCAGACAGGAAGTGACGCATTAGTGTTTAAGTAGATTTTTTTTCCCACACAGAACTAACAGTCCTCAAGAGTGTGACGTAGAGATGTCCACAAACTGTGCTCGCAGGAAAAGTGGACCAGTCTTCTTAATTGTTATGAATTTCCAAAACTTCTGTCTTTGTTCTAGTCTGATGTGAAGACATTGAAACCTGTCTGCAATATTTCCTTTCAGATTCCACTGTTATCCCTTCCCATGGCACTTTAATCATATGTCCTGCATCCTTGATCCATCACTGGAAGAAAGAGATTGACAAACGTGTGGCCTTTGGCAAACTGAGAGTCTATTTGTACCATGGGCCAAACAGAGATAAACATGCAGAGGTGTAAGTGCTAAACCATAACTATGACCAAGAAAGGTAAAATACTATGTAGCAAGAGATTGTGTTTATCAAAGTTGAAATTCAGTGGCTATAGAATGATGAAAGAATGTGAAGTGTGGAAATGTGGAGGATCTTCAAGGTCAGGCTGATGTATATAGCAAAACATTTATGGCCTGTACCCATACTGAGTGGTTCTGGTGGAGGCTATTGTTGCTTCTGATAGGAAAAGAGGGTGTATACTCTCTAAAACATCTCTTGCTTGCAGAGATCATCAGTGGCAGTTTCTCCTATGCTTGTGTTTTGTGGTTGTTGTGGTTTTTTTAATCAGCTCTATGCATAGATCAGAAAATTTTCTACACTCTTCATGCTGAGCAATTTCTAGGTGCAGTATTTCTAAGCAGGATTCGTCCCATGTGGTGTGCATTCTGTACCACTGGTTTTTACTGTCGTCTTGAGCTTGCTGTGTCTATTTTCAGTAACTATAAAATGGGGACAATGCGTCCTTCCTATTTGACTGCTAGGAAGCTCAGTTTTTTGTAAACTCAGCATTTCATCTCCTGTAGAACTGTGTTGTTCTTAAACGTATCCTTCAGCATGCATTTTATCTGTCTTGCAAAAGGAATTCCTCATTTGTTCTTGCTCCTGATTACTACTTTCCCTTTCTCAAGGCTTTCTGGATATGATGTTGTTGTCACAACCTACAGCCTTCTCTCCAAGGAGGTCCCCACAAGCAAGGAGGAGGGAGAAGTCCCTGCTGAGGACCATGATGTGGGGGTGAGAAGCTAAACTGTTGATAGGGAAATGCCTTAAGGTTTTGTTCTGAGGTGTTGCAAAGCCATTATTGCTTCAAGTAGCACCTATTATATGCTACAGTGAGCAGCAGCTTGAATTTTTCTTTTTCCATAAGCCCCTGTTGAGTTTGCACAATAAAAATAAAGTGATGAAAGTGCTGTGAAGTGCAGAAAGACAATGTTGACTGATACTCACAATGAATCTGTTCTGTAGAATTATAGAGTATGCTACATTGAATATAGTGAAAATGTTTTAAAAAGCAATTTTAGAATGTAGTGATGAATCTTGTACTCTTCCTTTTGAGGTGAAGGAGCACTAGAAACTCCCATTTGATGTTCTTTGTTGCTTGATGTCACTTTAATCTACCAGAAATCTATTGTGCTCAGGTTCTGGGTCAGTCTGAACTGAGACTGAGGCAGCTGATGTGCTGCCTTGAAGAAACAGCAGCGTGTTTGCTAGGCTGTGAAAATAATTTAGTGCTTTCTGAATGCTAACTGAAATTACTATACAGCATAGAGGAATCCCCTTGCTAATGTGGATATTGCTGTCTCATACCTCTGTGTACAGATCTAGATGTAGCTCCTCAAAGAAAACTGGACTTTGAATTTCCTGAAACTTCTAGGGGGCATCTGTAAAACTGTTGAGAGATCAGAATAATTATGTGTGGTCCTTGGTCTCAGCCTAGAAAAACTGATATAAAATACCTCTGTGGAAGCAAGAAGTGATGTAAAAAGCAAGAAAAACAGCAAAATATTAGAATTTTTTTATTAGAAACAGGCAAATATGTTATAGTCTTCAGCTTATAAACCATTGTGGAAGCTTTAAAGAGATAATTTTTGGACACCATTTCTTACCTGACAGAACACAAATTGCTGCTGACTAACATCAGGAGAAGGCTTCTTGCTGGAAAAATATGTTTGCTTGTGGCTCTTTGGACAGCCTAGCAAGGTTACTGCTTTTTCTTTCAGAGTGGGTCATCTCCCTGTTCCCCCTTGCTCAGGGTAGCTTGGGCTCGACTTATACTGGATGAAGCTCACAATATTAAAAACCCAAGGGCTCAAACCTCCATAGCTGTGTGCAAGCTGAGAGCCAGTGCCAGGTGGGCCGTCACCGGGACGCCGATACAGAACAACTTGCTGGACATGTACTCCCTCCTGAGGTGAGCTGGCTGCACGTGACCATGTGGACAGGGAGCCGATCCTAGTAATTCTTCTCTGATAAAATGCTGAAGTTGTTTCTTAGTTTGAGATGTTTCTGAGATGTGTGGAGTAGTGAGACTGGTTATAGTAACGTTTCAGGCACGTGCAAAGGTTGTGGCTGAGGCACAAAGTTGACCATGTGTCTGCTGTTGGTTTTGTGCTTTTGTGTAGCTTTTCTCCTTCCAGGGAGGACAAGGGGGAAATTACCTCAGATCTATGTCTCCAGGATGAATATTCACACAACCAATTGTAATGAACAGAAGTTTTGTGAGTTTCTCCTTGTTGCTACCAGAGCAGCCTGGGAGGATCTTCTTAGAGTATTGCGCTATAAGAGCATTGAAGGAAAGGGTGAAAACTTTGGCTTCTCTGAATAAATGATAAACAGATGCTTTTCTTTGCTGAGAGGGGGAAGATTACAAATGGTGTTGGTCAAGCACAGAGAACTTGCATTTGAATTTAATTTTGGATAATTGAAATTAATTTTCAAGTAAGAAGCCTGGTATTTTGAAATAACAAATGAATATGCTCTTTGGCAAGCGCCTCTGCACCTTGATGTCCTTCATTTGCTGGTGATGCTTGGAGACGTAATGGGCTGAGAGGAAGTGATGGGTACAGCATCAGAAGGAGGTGCTTATGATAAGACTTCGGCAAACAAGTTTTCGCCACCATTAGACTGGAAGTGTTTTACTGCTGCTTGGTAATGCAGTTACAGCATTTGGAAATGGTTTGTTTTGGATAGCAAGGAATTTGGTTCTGGTCACTCAAGAGCAACTGAAGAACTCTTCTTCCCTTAGCATGAAGTTTCCTTCCTTCCTGTTGTAGGTTTCTACGTTGCTCTCCTTTTGATGAATACAAAGTGTGGAAGTACCAGGTAGACAACAACACAAAGAAGGGAGCAGAGAGGCTAAGCCTCTTAACTAGGAGCCTCTTACTGCAGAGAACTAAGAACCAGCTGGATTCAACTGGCAAGCCCTTGGTAAGAACTTCACCCTGCACAACTATACCATCATTCCATGGTTGTCCTTGTAGCAGGCACTCATGTCTGCTTATTTACATACATAAATTTGTTAATGGATGGGTTTTCCTGTCTACTGCAGTCTCTTGAGCAAGAGAAGCAAATGCCTGTGGGATGCTTTTCCAGGTGCTTATCCAGAAAGCAGAAATATACACAATAATTAAACCTTTGTTATAAATCTCACGCAGACAAGAACACGCCAAAGTAATTGCAAGTAGATGGCCACTTAAGTGGAAAGTTAGCCTAGGTTGCTGAACTAGATCTCTGAGAATAAAAGCTGCTGTCAAATGGACCTGGTGTGTGCTGGAGCATTGGCTTTCTGCATAACTCTTTACAAATAGTCTATTAAACTGAGGTCACTGATCTGTCTGTAAGCCTTTAAAAGGTGTAGTTTTGGAGTACTTTCTGATTCTGAATGGGGAAATAAGAAGCTACTCTTACAATGCAAAAAATTAATCCCTCCGTGGTCATTACAGAGCAGTTCATGTTGAGTAGCTCATGCCTCTTGTTCTCAGATGAGTTGGAATAAAAGTTTTTATCTTGAGTGTTAATGAGGCTTCTTGGAGTTCTGTGAGTATCTATGTTGTGTCATAGTTGCATTAATACACATAGCTTTAAAGAATAAACAGCTGTATTCAGAGACTTAAAATAGTGTGTTAGATCTTTGATTGCTGATATTTGTGATGCTCTGTAAGATTTTTCCCCTATATTCATCTGATCATGTGAATTTGTACCTCAGGTGTCTCTGCCCCAGCGTAGCACACAGTTGCATCAGTTAAAACTTTCAGCAGAGGAGCAGTCTGTGTACAATGTGCTCTTTGCAAGATCCAGGTATGAATGTGGGTAGAGATACTGTATTTTGTGGTTTTGTTTCTTACTGGTGTGAAAATCAAAAAAAGAAATTAATTTTAGATGAAAAGAGTTATTGGACAAACTCCTGTTAATTTTTTCCCTTTCTGACTTATCTGTTAAGTATGTTTGAAAATACATTGCTTGTACTGGTAGTAGACAAAACTGATTAATTTCTTTTCTCCCAGAAGTTCATGCCTTGTATGAGCTTTGTGTTCTAGACTTACACTTAATCTCATTGATTTCAAGGCGCCAAAGACTTGAAATTGCAACAGTAGTTCTCAAATGATGATGTGCCAGCACCTGTAAAGGAGAGAATTGTTATCTTTCCTCTGTGATAACTTGTGCAATCAGAAATTATGCTGGCCTCTCCAGATGGCTATAATGCAAGCCAGCATCACTTGATGTTCTCCCAGGGTCTCTTTTAATGGTGTCAATGTAAATAGTTTTCATTCCTTTTAAATATACATTTAAAGGTGTCCTTATACTCAAGGTATTCCAATAAGCAGACTTGGTGTTTTTTGTGATTTCCAAAATGGATCTTGGTTGTGATCGTACTCAAGTTAAACAAAATTGGCGTTTTTTTGTGACATTTTATGATGATTAATGAAACCTTCCTTTTAAAGCATCATCAGCTTGCTTGTTAAGCTCAGGGCCTTCTTGCCTTTTTTCCTGCTGTACATTCCAGTGTCTTTGTCTTGTTTTTGCAGGTCAACACTGCAATCCTACCTAAAGAGACAAGAGCAGAAAAATGAAGACAGAGAGTATGCTGGTGGTAACCCATTTGAGAAAGGTTTGAGCATACCCTCCTCTGAAAACATTTACAAAGTGGCTCTTTAAGTGCCCAGTTAACAAGGGGGAACAGACCTGGCCACATGGGGTCAGGACTTAGAAATTCTTTAGCTAATGATCCCCTGATGTTACAGAGAAGCCTACCATGGTATTCCAAAAGTATGTTCTTGCTGTTGTGGCTCTTGGAAAATCTCCTAACCTCTTTGGGTCTGAAATTTCTTTCTGAAGTAAAGGTCTCACTGCTCAGACAATAGATGTCAGTGTTATAAGGTATTCTGACTTGTCTTTTTGTCTTTTTCCTTTTTTTTTAAGTGGGGGTTGATGAGTTCCTATGTTTAATCAGGTATTTGCTTGCCTGTTGATTCTTGTCTCTTATTGACGAATCTCTTCCTGGAGGTGGCTGGGCAATGCTTGGAAATGACTCCAAGAGCTCTTTATGTTTTGTCTTCCCTTCCTCTGCAGTTGCACAAGAGTTTGGAGTCAGTCAAAAGGAATTTTTAGCAGGCTCACAAAGTGCTTCCCAGGTCTCAAGCACTGTCCATGTCTTATCCATGCTCTTGAGGCTCCGTCAGTGCTGCTGCCATCTCTCCTTACTGAAACTGGTAATTACATTGCATTGTATTGTATTGTGAGGTCTTTTGTGGAGATTTTTGAGTGTTTCTGTAAGTGAACAGACTGTAACACCCTTGCATCTCTTAACATGACTTATATGGGCAGCTGTGTCTCTGGAAATACTTTATTTAGATTTTAAAAACCCAACCAAACAGAATTTTAAATGTGAAAGAAGTGTTTGTCTTAACCTAGCCTTGAAAAGTGCACAAGTGTAGCCTGTTTTAAGGGCTTGTGTTTTGGAGAGCTCTGTAAGTGCTTTGATTGAAGTTGCCTTGCATGAAGTAGATTAATCTTTCAAAAGTTCTTGCCCTGTCATATAAAGCAGCTGTAGAATAAATTCAGCTATTAAGGGAACAGGCAGAAATTTATCTTCTAATATCTTTCATCCTGCAGTTGTTAAATGCTATGGGAGAGGGAGTCTGAGGAGACTGGACCACAGAAAATGGCGAAGCTCACATGCTTTCCTTACACTGCCCCTTCTTAAAGAAGGGCCCAGAGGGACTGTTGGTCTGACCCACTAGTGTTCCTCAATTGTTTTATCTTCATATTGCACAGCATCCTTCAAACCCACTGTATTCAGCAGACATTGTGCAGACTGTGGATCAGTACTGAATTTGATCTCAGCCTTGACTGTGATCCCTTATTATATTGCTTTCTTTCCCACAGGCTCTGGATCAAGTTAACTTGAATAGTGAAGGTCTTTCCCTCTCCATTGAGGAACAACTTGGTGCTTTGACACTGTCTGAGCTCCAGACTCCTGATTCCCAATCAACAGTCTACCTCAATGGCACAGCTTTTAAAACAGATATCTTTGAAATCACCAGGGAGAGCTCAAAGGTATTCTGGTTGTCGCTTTCTTACCTTCCTTGAGAAGCTTGGATTTCAGCACTTTGCCTTTTAAATTATTAATAAATTGTCACAGCTTGGTAATTGAAGATCAGGCTAAGTTGCCAATTGAGATGAAATCAGATGTGTAGATTGATAGCCTGCTGAACTGTCGTGACGCGAGAAGAAAGAGACGCTCAATTTGAGAATCTAAAAGCTTCATTTATTATTTAAATAAGTCAACTTTTATACAATTTAGTTTGTTTTGGGCACATGCTTACAACAAGGTGATTGGATAGCTCAGTCTGTACACGCGTCTCATGTCTCCAGTTCATTGGACCTGATGTTCTGTTCACGCGGCCTGACATCATACTTGGCATGTAGAGGCCTTCATAATTAGGGGCTTTCTGAAATCTGCAGGCTTTCTGAAATCTCAAGGCTTTCTTGCTCTAAACATACTATGTTCTCAAACCTTATAATTAGACACACAGCTAACAAGTATAAACATTACATATTTTCACACAGTCTATAAGTATAAACATTACAGCTTACAACTTCTAAAGTCATGTCAAGCAAGGCCTACAGAAATGCAATAGAAATTGTTCACACAATTTGAATCTTGCCACACTGAACTCCTTCTGGGAAAGCTCCAGCTTCTCAGGTGTTAAGGGGTGCTTCTAGTAAAGCTGTGAGAATCTGACTGCTGAAAAACTGTCAGTGAAAATCTTGAACACTGGCTTCACAGAAGTTCAGAAAAGCTTGCATGTGAGACCATGGTGCTTGTGAAAAGCTAGAAAAAATTGGATGGCAGCAGGAGGAGAGATGGCAATAACTTGGCTTTTCACAGAAAGATTGGAATCCATAAGACATGTTTGTATGATTTGATTTCTTGACACACTTTTCTGTGGTGGTAATGTTCTTACCAATGACTCTTAAAATCTCTTCAAAGTCTGAGCACAGGAGAAGTTCCAGTTGAAAAGCTATTTTGATCACTTTCTATTTTCATGAAGAGTAGCCAGTCATGAACTGGATTATGAGCAAGCAGACTAACTGTTTTTTTTCCTGCAGATAGCTTACCTCTTGGCTGAACTGAAAACTATTCAGAGTCACTCAGAGCCTCAAAAAAGGTTAGCGAGCTTGTCCTCTTCTTTAGTCATAGTGATTGAGAGAAGCATGTTACTTGACAACAGCAGAAATAGTTTTAAATAATGGAATACAAAACTCCTGGTGTGGTAAAATGGTGGCAGTGCTGCAATAGTTGAACATAGATTTTGAGAAAAAAAAATCTAAGACAAAAGAAGGGAATTTAAGATGTAGGTCAGTGTAAACATAAGGGAACGTGTGAGAAATCTCAGGCTTTGAGGCCCAGGAGGACTCTCTCCTCCAAGAACAGAATTGGAAATAACTTCATTGTGCTGACAAATATTTGTCCTCAGCTCTGCAACCCACGCCACAACCCCAAAAAAAGTGGAGGAATAAAGTAGAGGTTAAACCTGAACCTGTTTGAGATAAAGGAATGCATTGATCAGAGGGCCTGTAGTGCAGCTGAAGTCCTGCACTCTCACTGTGCAAGTTCTCTCTGTCTTTGCTGTGCACCAGACTGCAGTGATACAGGGCTTTCTGCTTGTTTTTGTTAGAAGTGTAGAATGCTCTTACAGGTGTGTGGCTGTGAAGCAGCAACACCTGTGTCATGTTAGGGGTCAGTTGAGAGTGGAAATCATGTTGGGCATTTCCAGAATTGCACCATATGTAGAAAGCTTTTTTCCAGAGTCTTTTCCAAAATTAATCCCCATCATAAGAATGGGAACACCAACATTGCTTTTGTTCCCTTCCAAGAAGCTACTGAACAAATTATTGCCTCACAAACTCTTTAGTCCACGACTTGGTGAGTGAGAAGCTTCAATCAATCCAAGTTGGTGTTGCAATTGATTTTTGTGTACTGCAGAAAAAGCTCAGCATTGTGACTTGGAATTGTGATTGGTAGGTGGAAATGTAAAATCCAAAAATAGAGCTGAAAGTTACAGCCTTAATTTACCTTAAGTTTATTGGGTATTAGCCTTCCACAGCAGGTTCTACCACTACACCTAGAGGTGAATCTATTTCTGAATTGGGAAGGGGCTTGGTTGCAGTTTGCAGCTGGGAAGAGTGACTGAAGTGTTATCTCCTCCTGAGTGAGACAGGGCAATAACCAACCTGTTACAGTACACACAGACCTTGTTACAGTACACACAGACCTTGTACTAAGCTCCCTGCTCTTTTCAGTGTTGTTGTCTCACAGTGGACGAGTATGCTGAAAGTTGTGGCTGTGCACCTCCAGCGACTGGGGCTGAAGTATGCAACAGTGGATGGCTCTGTCAATCCTAAACAGAGAATGGATGTGGTAGAAGAGTTCAATTGCAATCCTAAAGGGCCTCAGGTATGCGATCAGGGCAGGGAGATAGTCCCTAGTGCTGCTATGAGCAGCTGTGATAGCTGACTTTGTGATTCCATTTGCTGGCACTACTGTCATTTGGACCTCTACATGCCAAGAACAGCAGAAAGGGGTAGCTGTAAAAACAAATGTACATCTTATAATGGGGCAGAAGGAGCTGCTACAAAGCTCCTTTTAATGTCCACCTTCTGTACTAAAATCATCCAACTCCAAAGCTAGTTCAAAGGTTGTCTAAATCTTCAGTGTGTTCAAATGAAGCATTCATTTTTTGGAAATGGGCTCTCTAACTCTCTTTTGGCCTTTGAAGGTAATGTTGGTCTCATTGCTGGCTGGAGGCGTTGGCCTGAACTTGACTGGAGGAAACCATCTCTTTCTCCTTGACATGCACTGGTAAAAAGAAACAAAAGTTACATCTCTGAGAGTATATATTGGGCATGTTGCTTTTCTTTCTCACCACATGTATTATGATGTTTGATACAACTGGGAAAGGAGGGCAGTGTAAGGGCTAGTGTTAGTTGTAGGAAAGTGTTTTTACTATAGCTTTCACCCAAGACACTAATTAGTCAATCTGAGACCCCTGGTGGCCTAGTGGTTAGCGTGCAGGACTTTCACTGCTGTGACCACGGGTTCAAATCCCGGTCTCCTGGCCTGATGGAGGTCGTTAGCCCTGTGTGGCCATCCATCTATGAGAAGGACACTCTAAACAAACCTACGTCCTGAGGACCTCACTGCCATTGTCCAAGCTCGCTTGGCCCCGGCAGATGAACCTTAGGATTAAAGGGTGGGCTCAGTTCAGCGCAGGCTGTGTCTCACCTAAAAAATCCATTGCGCAGGCTGGAAAGGTAAAAGACCTTTCCCCAAATCTTCGTTCGCGAAGATGGGCCATTATTATTATTATTAATTAGTCAATCCAATGAAATACAGTTCTGTAGGGGTAAGAAAATAGAGTATAACAGCAATCCAAAGAGGCAAGTATGCAACTCTGTATCACAAAAGGCTAGTGGGGACTTGGCAGTCCCTGCCTTAATTTCCTGCAGTAGTGAAAGTGGTACAGTAGTGCCTACAGGCAATTTTGTCTTGAAACAAATAGATTGTGTTGAGCGTAGTCAGTGACTGGGCATAACTAAAGTACCTTTGGGTTTTACATATATTATTATGAAAATAGTGTGTTTGAGCTCCTAATATTTGTTGTCCCTCATCAAAGTCAGAATTGCAGTTTTTTAAACTAAATGTTGCTCATGGGAATTTACAAAGCAAACTAATGTGCCTCATTGTAAAACCAGCTGCTGAGTAGCAGCCTTAAGGAGATGATTCTGCAATATTGAAGTTACACGAAAAAGTATTCCCTATAACTTTGTCAAATGGAACCATTTCTTATCCAAATATTCTTGAGTGATGGCCTCTTTCAATGGGGTTTGCCTTTCTGCTTCACTCTCTTTCCTCACCAGCTGTGGGCTTTCTCTGAGTACTAACTATTGGCCAGAAATATGGGGCTACATGGACCAGTGGTCTAAGCCATACAGCTGGCTTTGTGTGGAGTTGTAGCATTCTTCTACCCAAGGCCAAGGGAAATACAGCCAGGGTGAATACTGGCCAGCAAGCCTCTAAACCTCAGGTAACCTGGGAGCAGTTTTAGCTCTACAGAGGATGAAAACAGGATGCACTGCAGGCAGGAAAAAGAAGCATCTATTTTTTTTTAATTTTTTTTTTTTTACCTTGCAGGAATCCTGCTCTGGAGGACCAGGCATGTGACCGCATATACCGAGTGGGGCAGCAGAAGGACGTTGTGATACACAGGTCAGGATTTTACTTAGCAGTAAATGAGGCAGCTGCTGCCCTTGTGCTGTCTGGCTTTAATCAGTGAGACAAGGCCTTGGCTTCTTTACTTAGAGCTAGACACAAGGAGTGACAGTGGGATTGAGGTTTGGGCACTGAGATAGAACACATGAAAACATTTTTATGTGGCACTTGCCTGCGTGTTGCTGCCCTGACAGCTAGCAGGGATTTCTTGTTTTTCAGCCTGTGATTTAGTGGGAATGTCCTGTTCATTCCTGAGAATAATTCAGGCACCTAACCATTTCTGTTAATTCAGTGGAGGTTTTTCACCTAAGCCTGGACCTTTCTAGTATCACTAATAACATCATAAAGAACACTTCTATTAAGTGGCAAAGTGGATTTTTAAAAAAGCATCTATAACTAAGACCTAAAAGGCTAACTTAGTTATTGTAAATGCACAGCGCACTAAAGACACTGGAATCCAAAGTGCTACTTTGGGTACAATGACTTTGGTAATTAGATGCCATCAGTTATGAAACAGTCATTTCAGGATTTTGTCACAGAATTCCTGCCGCTTCAGATGACCGAAGTTGAGGCCTTAAGTGCATCAGGCTTATATTTGAAAGGTTATAATATTTGGATATGAGGACAGCTGGTTTCTGTTCAGAGGTGTATTGCGTCAGTCACATAATAGAATAATTATTAATTTCTGAGACAAGTCTTTGGGAATTTGCTGGGAAAGTCCATAAATAATGCTGACACTTATTCCTAGCATTTGAGATGATGTGGCTTTGTTTTGTTGGGAGTTTTTTGGTGGGTTTTTTTGTTTGTTTGTTTTTTGGTTTTTTTTAGGTTTGTCTGTGAAGGAACAGTAGAAGAAAAGATCCTGCAACTCCAGACGAGGAAGAAAGGTCTCGCCCAGCAGGTTCTGTCAGGCAAAGGAGAGGCCCTCACTAAGCTGACTCTGGCTGACCTCAAAGTTCTCTTTGGCATCTAATTATCTTTTTCAACACCCAACAGAAAGTAATTTATACTTACAAGTAACGGTGCAGACTTCAACAAAAGATTTCTGGTTTGAGGTGGTCATTTACTTTAAACAAATAACTACATTTTTTAACTGTTCTGGGAAGTTATCAACTTCAAGAATTTGTTTCAAAACTAAAATTAGATGGTGTATCCAAAGGTAAATAAAATTATAAGTTAAGATGTTTTAAACATCTTGTTTTAAAACACTTTTAAATAAATGTTTGAAACAAAAATGTGCTTGTTTCTTGGTTTTTTTATGTGTATTTTTTAGTTAGAAAACTTTCCTTTTCAGCACAGGAGATGCACAGGAGTAAGTGAAATAAGAACAAGAGAGACAAACATGAGGTAGGAGAGTTGAGAAGGTTGAGTGATGAGGTTGGGTAGGTGTGAAGGAAGAAAAAAAAAATAAATTTTGAGCACAATGCTGTAAGAAGACTATATAAACTTTAGAATCTGTAACAAAATTAAGGAAGGACTTAGAGAAATACTTCACCTTCTCTTTTGTTCTTTAGGAGGTCTTCTTATATCTAATTGAAGAACCATTTTTCTATCCTGCTCCAAGTTTTTATTCAAGCTAGGAGCTAGATTTCTGTTATGTTCCTATGAAACAGAACTGAGTTCCTGATTGTTGTGGGTGGTTTTTTTTCTTCTGCATATTTAATAGACTAAGGTTTCCTTGATGCAAATCTTTTCATGTATAGACTATTCTTGCTCAGCAGATAGTCACATTTTGCTAATAGCAGATGAGTTGCAAGTCCTTGGTTAATGGTCTGTATTCTCTCTCTTATCAGAAGTGGTGTGTGCAGGTGAGTGACATTTTTAGGCAAGTAATTTTTTAATTAATAATGCATCTTCTCTGTTTCCATCTCCCTTTTCTGCATCCCTGGCTGTATGCACTGCACATTCCAATTTTCTATTGATTACACTGTCTCTGAGATTTGTCACAGTTCTCACAAGCTCCATACCAAACAAAGGCGTTTGACAAGTTTAATGCTAAATGGTAGAGCATGACAAGTTAGAATGCTGTTATGAAACTAGGTCTTGGTTGCTACATGGTCATTCCCTATGGAATAAGGTAATGGCATTTGGTAAGCCTTTGAGTGAAGGAGAAATCTATTCACAGTGTCTTGATGAAGTATGATGTCTGTGTTAGTCATTTCTCTTACCTGCCTTGACATGATGTGCAAGGGAAGCTGTGGAATTATTCCAATTTATTGCACCAATACAGGCACCAGGGGACACAAAAATAATATTGAGTATCTTTTTGTCTATGTGCATCCATGAATTCAACCGTGATGGTAGGACCTTGAGTGGCTCTCAGAACCAAGGAAGTCTGGGCAACTTGAGCAATTTAATCATTATCTCGGTTTGGGGAACATTGGGGGAACGCTGCTTATTTGCCTCGCTGTGCTGGTTTTCTGAAAAACATAGCAGAACATCTCTTTGTTCACCTACCCTCTGGTCTGAGCTCCTCTCCCATTCCTTGGAGCTACTGTTACCCTAGCAGGTT